CCTTAAAATTTGTTTAGAGCCATTTTTAATAGGTATTTGGAGGGGTTTGGGGGAGAGCTCAAGCAAATCACTGCTTTCACTCCGCCATCTTGGCTCCCTCATTCTTAATTTTCTGCATTATTTGAAGACATTATTGGAGAGTGACTTATGGAGGACTGTTATCTATACCTTTTTTTTAAACCTCCCACATTTGAAAGGTTGTGTTCTAATTGATTTCTACCCATGCTTTATTTTCATTTCAGTACACTCTAGAAGAGGAGGTGTTCTAAATTACTGAATTGTAAAATTAGCACTGACTTTCTGGATGAAAGCTCTGGATTGTTTTGCTATAGAAATTTGAAAAGAATTGAGCAAATCAGCTGTCTCAGGGTAGTAGGTTGAAATAAAATTCTGAATTCACTGTATTATGTCTGATGAAATGCTTAGAATTAACTCCTTTAAGGATCCAGTTTTTGTTTTATATGCAAAAATAAAAATTCGTGAAAATAAAAATATCGGTGCAAGAGCTGCTGACATTACATTAATTTTTATCAGTTACGTCATACCTGGAATACTAAGAATTGGGAATTTAATTCCATTTTAGAGCCAGTTATTTATTGATTACAATTATATTCACAAAACCTAATAAAAATCTTTTAAATCTGTAGAACACATTAAATCTATCAAGAATGACTTGTACAAACTCAATATGCTATAGCATATTGAACCTTAAGACCTATTAAATGTTTTAGGGTTTATGTATTTAGGCTACAAAAGCTTATAACTGAAATAAAACTTTGGGGACACCCTGACACGGTATATAGCTTTTATATGCCTCAGACACTTGTGGCATTGGAATTCCAAGATAACTTTTAATTTAAATTTTTTTTTAACAATTTAAAACTTGGTGTTTTTAGTGTACTGAAAAAACTTCCTCTAATTCCATTTTTCCTGTCTTCCAAATTTTGGGATGGGGGGGAGGAGATAAACTATTCGTTCTGGCATTACTTTAGTTTTTTAATTCTTAAGGGGGAAAGTTCTTTTAAAAAATACATCCTTTTATAAGTTCAGTAATGTCATTTAATTTTGGACTGCATTGCTTAATACTGCTACGTTTATAATGTCCCATTTGCCAGGTGGATTTTGACTGATTTGAGGGAGGAAGTAGATACGTAGGTTTGTTGTTGTTGTTTTTAATTCTGAAGGAAACACAAGGCTTTAAAAAAAAAATTGACCTCATGGTGATAATTTAGAAATTTAAAGTATTTGACCAAGTTTGAGTTAGGAACAATGAAGTTGTATCCGTTAGACCCAACAGGTGACTGTATGTCTTGATCAGTTGCACTAGGAAACAAATATTTTACTGTTCTGTTTTGACCCAGCAAATAATACTGGATCTTGCCAGATGCTTATATATTCAAATATTTGTTTTTTAAAGGTTTTTCACCTGTCTGCTTTGTTTTCCTTCTGAAATTGTAACAGAAACCAGCAATCTTAGAGATCTGACAATTAAAAATATGCAACAGGTAGTGGGTGCGAGTGATGCAGAATTATACTTTAGGAAATTTGCCACTTTAGGAAATTTGTTCAGGGACTAGGAACTATGGGTATGAAGAGAAAGGGTTAGGGAAATCCTTACCTTTTTTTCCCAATGCACAGTGCCACACTACCTTCACTTTTACCATAAATGGAAGAGTAGAAGAAGCAGTGCTATGTTTATCTTTACATAGTTAGTTGCTCCAAAAAGCCCAAGTCTTTTGTTTTACATCTGTGTAGATGAATTCCGGATATATAACATCTCTCCCCTGGATAATAAGTTACATGATTTATTTAGAACTTAACATTTACTCAGAGAAGCAGACCTTTGTGGATAAATTTGGATCTCTGTAAATGGTCATATCTGTTTTCTTGTCCTTGTAGGTAGGCTTGATCCAATTCTTTACCAGTAGGTTTGGTAACCTTTAAGTAAAAGATAGAAATTGTCCTATAAAGTTAGGAAATAGCTTCTCATAAATTAATTCCTTCTTTCAACATTTTGGATTTATTTCCTTTTGTTATGATTTTAGAAATAGGATGTGGCTGGTTATTCTCTTCACTTATTCTACATTTAAATTTAAATTTTAAGCTATTTCTCAGACTGGTATTGTGGCTCTCAAAATTTATTTGATTGATCTTTCACGGTTTGGCCTTAAGTGTACCATGTGCTTCCCACAAACATATGACTGAGACTACATTTGCCGTGATTTAATCCATGTTAAAAAAAAAAATCAAATATATGATTTCATCAGTGTATAAAGGAACAATTTATAGTTTCATTTATCTGGGTTACTGTGAGGTTAAGTGACTTGCTGGTCATCACATAGTCAATATGTATCAAGGGTTTTACTTGAACCAAGATCTGTACTCTGAGACCTTGTTTCTATCTGCTGTACCACATTGTCTCTCATCATCATATATTATGATGTATAAATAGTGTATATGAATAACTACTAAATCTCAACTCCGTTTGCCTTCTAATTTCTATTATAAAGTTGTGTGGTGGAAAGAACATTCAATTTGACACAAACATGGGTTGATATTCTGGCTGTGTTACTACTTGCGTGATCTTGGGTATATCACTTAACCTTTCTTGGCCTCAGTTTCTTCATCTGTTAAAAGACATTGTGCCACATCTGGTAAGGGGAAATTTAACAGAGATAAATGTTAGTTCAAATTATATTTTTTAAAAATCAGCTTCACAAGTTCAGGATTAAGGAGATTTTGCCAGATCATTTCTGTAAAGAGGTACAGGGGGATTTAGTGTACTGAAAGCTCAATGTGAGTCACCAGTGTGATTCAGCAACCAAAAAGGCTAATATCAACTTAAGGTGCCTGAAGACAGTAATGGTGTCAAAAAAGAGTTCAAGAAAATGGGAAGTTATTATAGCATTGCGCTCTAGATCATGTGTAGAGTACAGTGTTCAGTCCTTGGAAACCTATCTTCTTTGTGTTTCTTCAAGTCCCAGTGACTTGGGAAACAAAAATGATAGCTCTTTTAATTTATTTGAAAAGCTATCATGTAGAAGATTCATTTTTACTGGTTGGTCCTAGAGGACTAGAAGCAATAGGTGGAAGTTGCAGAGATGCTAGTTTCAGCTTAATATAAGGAAAAACTAATTTGGAACTATTTAAAAGTAGAAATGGGCTGCAGATTTAAATCCCCATCAAGTAAAAAAGTAGATGACCACTTATTTCTCTACAAGTTTGTGTTAGACTGGATGATATCTGAGATTTTGTGTAATTCCCTGAGGTAATTAAAATAGATCATGGTTTATTAACCTTTTTTGTGTGTTTTGGACCCCATTGGCAGGCTTGTGAAGCCCATGGCCCCTTCTCAGAACAATATTTTTTTAAGAGCATTTTTAAAAATTAATTTATTTTGACTTATCAACAATCACTTCCATATGCTTTTGAGTTTAAAATTTTTCTCCCCCTTCCTCCCCACCACCCTCCTCAAGATGGTGCACAATCTGATATAGGCTATACAAATAGCCTATATCTTTTTTTTTTTACTTTTTTTTTTAAATTTTATTAATTTTGATTTGTCAAAAATCACTTCCATATGCTTTTGAGTTGAAAATTTTTCTCCCCCGCCCTCCCCAAGACGGCGCACAATCTGATATAGGCTTTACATTTACATTCCCATTAAACATATTTTCACATTAATGAAGTTATAAGTAAAAATTAAAACGAATAGGAGGAACCATCAGAAAGATGAAACAAAACTCAACAAAAGGTAAAAATAAGGGATAGTGATTCAATTTCCATAGTTCTTTCTTTGGATGTGGACAGCATTTTCCATCCCGAGGCCTCTGGAGATGTCTTAGATCCTCGTGATGCTGAGAAGGGTTCAGTTTAACAATCTTAGTCATTGCACAATGTGGCTGTTATTGTGTACAAAGTGTCCTCTTGGTTCTGCTCACTTCACTCAGCATCACACCATATAAGTCTTTCCAGGTTTTTCTGAAGTCAGCCTATTCATCATTTCTTATAGCACAATAGTATTCCATTATAAAATACACTCCTATTAAACATATTTTCACATTAGTGATGTTGTAAGTAAGAATTAGAAACAATAGGAGGAACCACCAGAAAGAGGCAACAAAACTCAAAAGAAGAGAAAAAAAAAACAGCAAATAGTGTGCTTCGATCTGCATTCAAATTCCATAGTTCGTTCTTTGGATGTGGATAGCATTTTCCATCACAAGGCCTTTGGAGATGTCTTAGATCCTTGTATTGCTGGGAAGGATCAAGTTTATCAATATTAGTCATCGCACAGTGTGGCTGTTATTGTGTACAGTGGTTTCTTGGTTGTGCTCACTTCACTCAGCATCAGACCATACAAGTCTTTCCAGGTTTTTCTGAAGTCAGCTCGTTCATTTCTTATAGCACAATACTATTCCATTACATTCATATACCACAGCTTGTTCAGCCATTCTCCAATTGATGGGCATCCTCTCAATTTCCAGTTCTTTGCCATCACACAAAGAGCTGCTATAAATATTTTTGTACATGTGGGTCCTTTTCCCATTTGTATGATCTCTTTGGGATATAGCCCTAGAAGTGCTGTTGCTGGATCAAAGGGTATGCACATTTTTATAGCCCTTTGGGCATAGTCAGAATAATATTTTTAAGTGCATAAAATAAAATACATAGAATTATGAAGGAAAGTAGTTACATTAAAATGCAATTATTAATTATTAAAACCTGTTCACAGACCTCACAAAGAACCTCTGATCTAGTTGATTTCTGTATCTACTTTAGCTGCCTTTCCTGCAACTTAGCAATAGGAGAGGTGGCTGTTAAAATTGGGGACTGAGCAGGATCTAGGGGTGAGATATGCATTCTAGACCTCTCCTTTCTCATTTGAATGTCTTGTTTGTATGCTACATGAAACTAATTAGAAAGAATTTCTTGAGAGATTGTCACTTTTTTTTATATATTAAAATCTAATGACTTTTTGAATCACTTCCCTATTGTAGGTGGTTGAAGATTATGCTGGAAGATGGCAGGTTCCTTTGCCACAGCTTCAAGTTCTTCAGACAGCACTTTGTTGTTTTACAACGGCCAGTGTATCATTCCCAACTGAATGTGAGCACGTACAATATGTTTTGAGTAGCCTAGCTTTGTAAGTATTACTTTCTTTCCTTATTAAAATGTTGCCTTTGTTGTTGTATTATCCATATATATTGGTTTCTAGTTTTTTCCTTTCCTAAGGAAGGAATCTCTCCTCCAGTCTACCAAAAAAAGGGCAATTTAAAAAATTTTTTATGAACTCTTATTTTAAATATTCTTTATAATTTTGTGTGCAGTTCTAGTATTAAATTGGCATTGTAAGATACATAAGGATCAAATGAGGTAATAATTGTATAGTGCTTTAGTATAGAGCCTGGCACATTGTAAGCACTTTATAAATGTTAGCTATTATTATTTTTCCATGTTTATATTATAGCGCAACTTAAATTAGATTTGCAGGGGTTTAGTAGATAGAGTACTGAATTTTGAGTCAGACAGTCATGTGTCAGAATTATGCCTCAGGCATTTACTAGCCATGTGACTGAGCAATAACTATATTTCTTAGTATCTTCATCTCTAAAATGGGGATGAACTAATGAGATAACACATGTAAAGCATTTTGAAAATCTTAAAGCACTATGTAAGTGCTAGTTGTTGTTATTTTAATTGTTGTTATTTTTCCTTCAACTAAAGAAGTTACTGGAATTAAATAATCCAGGGTGTTGTAGTTATTAAAATAATCTTTTAAGGAACATAGTACTGGGCCACAAGGTGGTCAGTAAAATCCCAGGTTAAAGAATTCTTATAATGGTGTGAGTATATAAAAGCATATATACATATGTTTCTGTGTATGTCTTTATAAATATATTAAAGTGCATGTACATATGATAATTTTGTAATGCTATGTAATTTGGGTTTTTTTCTTAAAAGAGAATTTTTTAAACACCATGAACCAATTTAACACTGAGCTTGGCATAGAGTACAGATCGTGGTATGTGCTAAAATAATTATTTTTAACAAGTTAGAGGGGTAGCTAGGTGGCACAGTGAATAGTGTTGGAGTCAGGAAGACCTGAGTTCAAATGCAGCCTCAGAAATTTACTAACTTTGTGATCCTGTTTGCCTCAGTTTCCTCACCTGTAAAATGGGCTAGAAAAGAAAAAACCCCAAAAGGGGTCACTGCTGAAATGACTAAACAACAACAAATCATACTAGTTAACAAGTTGAGAAAATGGAGAATTAGTACTATTACCTTATTTTGAAATTATACTTTTATGATGCAGCAACCTACTTTATGTAGTGCCTAGGAATGAACATTTCTAAATGTTTATAGTTTATGGACTACTAAAACACTGTCAAATTATTCAGTGAATTTTTTCAAAAAAGAAAGTAGTTTGTTTTTATTTTTTGTTTTTTGTTTTAGTAGATGGCTTATAAGAAATAAATACTAGTCTTGGTTGAACCCTTTAGTTTGGCTTTAACCTGTGAAGTTTTGTGTATTTTTATTTCTTTGTCTGCCTTTTATCAGCCATATTCTAACACATGATCTTTGGCCTTTACTCACATGAAAATTCTCTTAATACTGGGTTACTTAAAAAAAATATATCAACAGCTATTTTTATAGAATAGAATTTATTTCTTGCCCTTTCCTATTCCTTAGAATTAACTGGGTGGTATGTGTTAAATAGAAATCAACCTTATTCAAGGTTTCCCGGCCAAAGTGGAATGGTGCCAATAAATGTGAAGAAGCAGGTGAAAATATTATTTTTAGTAGCTTATGGTATATTTTTTCCCCTAAATTTGTATAATCTGTTTGGAATTTTGATTATTTCTGCTACAGGAAGTTTAGGATAAGTTTTAGGTGCATACTTAATTATAGAAAAATAATGGAGCAGTGTTTTGGGTAGTCTAGCTTTAAAGCTAAATACCCTTTTCTTTATTGAAGTATCATTTTTGCCATTGTATTATCCATGTAATTGATTCAAATCAAGCCCTTCCCAAAGAAATTATCTATTTCTATTATGATAATGTTAAGCTTTGTAACAGTTTTGAACATGGATTAAGGAAATCTTTGGACTGGCCTCTGTACCTTTGCTTACCCTATTGCCTGTGCCTGGAACATTTTGACCCCCTACTTCTGTCTTTTAAAAACCCTAGTCAAATGCCACCCTGATAGGAAACCTTCCCTAATTTCTTCTTTCCGTTTCCAAGTTAGTTATAACTGATCTCACATAGCGCTATATTTTCTACTCATTTGTACACATATGTTATTTGTATTATAATTATTTATGTTGCATCTGGACTTGGAATCGGAGGTCCTGACCTTGAGTTGTGGCCACACTACATACTGTCTGCCTTGGAAAAGTTACTTCACCTCTGAGTAAGGACACGGTCCTTTCACACTCTGTATAATATTTCCTAATATCAAACTTCTAAGCTTCATGAGAGCCAGAACTGTATCAGCCAGTCAGGCAATATTCATTTATTTAAATCTAGTATGTGCCCAGAACTGTGCTAATCTAAACATTGAGGATGCCAAGAAAGGAAAAAAGATAGCACTGGCTGAGGGTGGAGGAATAATATGCAATCAGTTGTGCAAATAAAGTATAAGAAAACAAGGATAAATTGGAAATAATGCAAGAAGGGAAAGCGTTAGAATTAAGAAGGTTTGGAAAAGATTTCCTGTGGAAGGTGAGGTTTTAGCCAGGGAAGCCAGAAGGTAGAGATGAGAAGGGAGCATATTCCAAGCATAGAGTATAGCCAGGGAAGATGATCAGAGTTGCGAGATAAAGTACCTTGTTCAAGGAATATGAAGAATACCAGTGTCATTGGATCACGAAGTATATGGTGGGGTGTAAGGTATAAGAAGACTGTAAAGATAGGGAGGGGTCATGTTTCACAGGGTTTTGAACACCAAACTGGATTTTATATTTAATGATTTTTAAAAAAATAATATTTTATTTTTTTCCCAGTTACGTGTTAGAAACAATTTTTACAACTTTTTTTTTAAGTTTTGAGTTCCAAATTGTATCTCTCCCTCCTTCCTCCCTTTGTCCGCTCCTCCTTGAGACAGTATATTTAATAATGAAAATAATAGAGATACACTGGAGTTTAAGTGGGAGTATGAGTGAATAGTGAATGACATAGTCATTCTTGTACTTTAGGAAGATCACTTTCATAGCTGAGTGAAAGTTAGATTAGTTGAGAGACTTGAGGCAGGGAGACCAGGCAGTTAGTAATAGTTCAAGCAGTTCTGCTTCCGGGAGCCAAGATGGAGGAGTAAGAAATAAGTCACTCTCACTCTCCTTTATTGACCTCTGAAAGCCCAGAAAATATTGCCCCAGGAAAACCCCTAGAACAGCTGAACCAGCAGAAAGAAGAGGTGCAGCAGTCTTATACCCCAGAATCTTGGGAGATTGACAGGAAAGGCCCTTCTCACTCTGGAGGAGGGGGAGCAGTACACAACAGGAGGTGTCCCCTCAACACATGAGGGGGAGATCCTGAGCCCCAGGTGGAGCAGGCAAGCGCCAACTCTAGGACTCCCTGAGTGCTTAAGTACAGGCAGGGGCACCAGGAGACATTAGCTTGAAAAATCACCACCTGCTCTGCTGTGCTCCAGCAGCCAAATCTCCCTGTGCCTCAGCACAACTCTAGGAAGCAGAACTCCCGGAGGCAAAGCTCCAGGCTGGTAGACATCTTCCAGCAGCCAAACATTCAAATGTAAGTCCTGGGTTAGCAGGAGCCAAACAAAGCCAAGCTGAGCAGGCATCCACCAGAGGCCAGATTCCCCATCCCCACCCTGAGAGCTCCAGTGTTGCTGACCCCAGCCCAGCACCAGGTAAGCTTCCAGAACCTTTACAGTCTCCAATTGCCAGCACTAGAGACCCTAGCACACAAAGCCAGTGACCAGGTCCTGGGATCCCAGCACGAGAAGCTTGGGTCATTGCCCCCTGTGCTCCAGCAGGAGAGCTCAGCTTTTTTTGAAAGTCAGTAAATTGACAAACATTATGAACAAAAAGCAGGAATGGACAGTAACCATAGATTCTTATTATGAGGACAGGGAAGATCAAGGCACAAATTCAAAAGATGACAACATTGTCAATATACACACATCTGAAATCTCAAAGGGGAATATGAACTGGTCTCAAGCCTAAAAAGCCTTCTTGGAAGAGCTCAAGAAATATTTTAAAAGTCAAGAGAGGTCGAAGAAAAATTGGGAAAAGAAATGAGAGGTATGCAAGAGAGAGTCAATAGCTTGGAAAAGATAGGACAAAAATTGACTATAGAAAACAAGTCCTTAAAATACAATTGGCCAAATGAAAAAGGAAGAACAAAAAGTCACTGAGGAGAACTCCTTAAAAAGTAAAATGGGTTGAATGGAAAAGGAGGTACAAAATCTAATAGAAAAAACAATTCGTTAAAAATTAGAATTGGGTAAGTAGAAGCTAGTAACTCTATGAGAGATCCAGAGTCAGTCAAACAGAAACAAAAGAATGAAAAAATAGAAGAAAACGTAAAATACCACATCAGTGAAACAACTGACCTGGAAAATAGATCCAGGAGAGACAATTTAAAAATTATTGGTCTACCTGAAAACCACGATAAAAAAAGAGCCTGGATAGCATCTTTCAGGAAATTGTCAAGGAAAACTGCTCTGAGGTCCTAGAACCAGAGGGTAAAATAGTTATTGAAGAATTCACTTATCACTTCCTGAAAGAGATCCCAAATTGAAAATGCCAAGGAATATAGTAGCCAAATTTCTAAATTACCAGGTCAAAGAGAAAATACTGCAAGCAGCCAGAAAGAAGCAATTTAAATATCATGGAACCACAGTCAGTATCATGCAGGTCATGTGACATAAATTTGTGGTGGATCCAGTCAGCCCAGTTTCAGGATTTTCTCCAAATTTGTTCTGCCTCACGTGTAGGAGTGAAAGCAGCAGGAATTGGGAGTGATTGTTAATGGGGTCCCCTGAGCTTGTCTTTATGGATTGCTGTCTTTTCCAGAAACACGAGACTCAGAATATGCAAGAGGTCCTGAACGTTTCAAGGACCAAGGCACCCCCACCCCTACAACACCCAGCCATAGCTGACATAATTTGTTGTTTGTATCC